ATTCCAAATTAAGGCGAATTTAATACTGATTGATAGAAGCTCAGTAAATTTGTCAATATGTGAAACTTGCGTCTCGACATAAGCATTTTCGTTTTTATATTTATTTCGTTTTTTTTTTTTTTTTAAAGTTGCGTTTATTGTCTGCTTCATTTCTAATGCTTTAGTTTTAAACTTGATTTATTATGAGCTTAATAAATATTATTTTCCTGATAACCACTTCATAACTGAACATAAAGATTATTTATGTAATTTAATTTGTACATGTAGAAAGGGTGCAGAGTATTATAAAGTTACATTTAAAAAAAATGTATTTTACTTAAAAAAATATGAAATATTCATGATTAGAAAAAAATGGTATTTCCTCCTTATCTTTTACATTTGATTTTCTTAAATTCCGTTGAATTGATCTTAATCTGACTGAAAAGCCAATTCGGCTTTTATAGTTTATATTCTTGAATCTTAAATTATCGGGTCAAGGGCGACCGTTTTAAGACATTTAGTTTAAGACTTCTATTTCGTTATTAATTTGATCATTTCAACTAGGTTTTAATTTTTGCTCTTTAATAAAAACTATCACCTTTGACAGTTTTAAAACGGGAAATTCACAACTAAAATTATTAATACATTGATCTTAAAAATCAGAAATCCTTATTATATTTATAATTAAGCCATTAAAATTTTAATTATAATATGGCTTTACAGGGTTGCTGCTTTCTAGAAATAAAAAAATAGGCACAAATAATTTATAATATTGATGAAAATGTTATAGGGTTTGATTTTATTTTAGGAATTTAGTTCGTCTTTTTTCACGTCTAGACATTTCTATCTGCGATTGCAAATATTTGTTGCTCAATACAAATTCATTAGATTATTCCTATTTCTTTTAGCGTATCTACTTAGGTTGCTCAGGAGATAGAGTCATATAGTTTGCGTTCCAATAAGGTCGCCCATGTTAAAATCCTAGTGGTAGCTGTTGATACGAATTCTGTTCCCGGCTCGCACCGTGCTGATGTAAATAATCCTCAGTGGTAGACGGATCATGGGTTAGAATCCTACTGTCGTCAAGCTAACCATGGGAGGTTTTCCTGGTTTTTATCTCCTTGAACGCAAATGTGGTTAAATTCCCTAATTGGCTCATCACAAAGGCTAATTTGTCCTAATGCTTGATCCAGGCATTCCCCTGTCTTTTGGGTTGGGTTCAAAATTATAAGGCTACGGAGTTGAACATTAATATTTATAAATTCAGAATTGGGTAGGCTGCTCAATGTATGTTTTAAAATTACAAAAGTACCTACCACTTTTCAATTTTTTAAGATCGTAGGCTTTACATTTTTAATAGGATACAACAACCAGTGTGCTATTTATATATTTTGATTTATACGAATTCCAAATAAATGGGGGCCTACTGGCCAAGCGGTATCACCCAAAAAAAACGACCTGTGGCCTAGAATCCCGCAGTAACCCTGGATGTGCTGCCGCTGCTCTGAATGTGCTTTCTCTGAATTGTGGTAACCATCCTCCTAATGGACAATATTTAATAAGTCTTAATTGAACCCACTACCCTGCAAGTGTGGGTTGTACCATATAAATCTAAATAAATACCGTCTTCCATTTGACTTTTCAACATAACAATTTTGTCTGCAACACATAAATGTTAAATTGTCGTATTTGTATTATCACTTTATTGTTTATAAATTTACCAATTACTTTGTTAATCACCCACTTTAAATATTCTATGCTAATCACTCACTGTGGTATTTTTTTCCTACTTTCTCCTTATACTATCTCTCAATTATGCAAATTTTTGATATTTTGCACCAAGATTCCCTTTGTTGTCGCATGTATTATATGTATTTTTATTGACATCATTTGCTATCTAACGTATACGTCGCAATTATCACTGCTTTCATTCATGATGGACAAGAAAAGGTCCTCATTTACCTAGTTAAATGTCCAAATCCCAAATAAATGCCAAACTGAAATAAGTTAAGCACTAGTTTTTATCACATCATAAATATTTTTTAAAAATATTAAACCTCCAAAAAATAAATAAAAACATAAATTTCATTAAAACTTTTAATATATAATTAACTGGTAAAAACATAAGATTATTTAGGTTTATGAAGATTAATCTTGTAAACGAATTAGGTTCAAATGTTCTGATTTTGGGGACATTTTTTACTGCTAAATTAATCTTATATCCTATAAAATTAATTCAAATGAAAAATATCTTCGTATTTACCACATTATGTTAAAAATATGCATAATCTATTTTATCTAAAGTCATACAAGATGCACCATTACATACCTGCCAACCCTTCCGGAAGATTTTATTTTCATATTTAAAATGGTAGCAATACCATTTTAAATTATTCCAATATATTATAGGTAGTTATTCCAATTAACTTTCTGAATTATAATGATAATTATAAATGAGTTTGATCACGACTACATATAAATAATTACAATAAATATATCAATCCTAGCCCAAGCGAATTCCAACGTGATCAAAATATTAATATTTTTTGAGTTAGATTGTTTTTCGTTTATTGTTTTACAACCACTCTGAAAATCCATTCTCGGAAAGAGTGAAAGTTGGCAGGTATGTATATCCTTTTAAGTTCAATTTATCTACCTTTTTCCCCACGAAATATCTTAGATCAAGGCAAGAAAAGCATATTCGTCCACTTCGCAGGAAGAGGTTATTTGCCATTTTAATTCCGTTTGGAAAAATCTTCCTCCAAAAGCTAAAATTTGGTAACTGTAATTTTTCTTCTAAAACCCGATTTTGTATACAAATTTTCAACTCCTATGTTATTAACGCCTTAAAATAGTTAGAATTTGTCCTCTATATAAATTTTCATTGAACATAAGATCTAAAATTTGAAGAGAAAATAATGACTTCTAATCTTAATCAATAGTTTCTATTATTCATTTCCTTTCAATAAATATTGATCTTGTTTTGAGCGTTTGAATGTTTTCAAAGCGTAAAAATCATTCATGAAATATTGTTACATAATTAAAAGACCAAGGACTAGAAAAGTAAACTTCATTAGTTTTAATGTTTTCAAGACCGCGATTTATAAAATAAAAGTTTGCTTCAAGTGCCATTTCTTTGCACCCTGCGAAACCACATCGGAAAATCGTCCTTCAAACAAATAAAAAAAATTAGGCCATCTTAGGGAGAAGATAAGGCAAAATAGAACCTCACGGAAATTCTTCTTCCTCTAACTTATCTCTAAGAAGATGCTCCTCTGAATATTAATTGCTGAATGCCGTGACACTAGTGACAAAAACAGGGATTTCTCCTGCGACCCTGAACACACACGAAGGCCACGGACAGGCCTTACTGGGCAAGTTGTCGTTCTGTCACAAACCAAAAACGCCATTTAACTTTATGGCTTGGTTGACGTAGCGTGAAAGTGCATCTTTTTTTCCCCCTTTTACTTTAAACAAGAACAATAGATACAGCCGATAGAAAATTTGGAGCACTGGACTGAATATGAGGAGAAAATATTCGGCGAAAAGAAAGTTGGAATTTCAGACATTCGAATTATTTCCGCGAGATTGAACCAACCTGTCCAAAATGGATTACTTGGATTTACTGCGAATGACGGTAACTTTAAATGCTTTTTAATCTAAATTGTTTGTATTTATTTTGTTTTTCATTAGCTTGATGTAAAATAATGATCTGATTAGGGATTAAAAGTTTAGAAAGCGAAAGTTGTTTTTCTCGTGCTTTTTTTTTCTTTTCTCTTTAATCGTTAATGCGTTTTGAAAGCACCCAATGTGGTTATCGGATATAAATTCAGGCACCTCAGCGAATCGTTATGTACCCTCTTGCCCTGGTTCTTCGAATTCGAGACAGCCCTATGATCCCCCATTTTTTAAAAAAAAATTTTGTATCACTGCTACATTTCATTATCTTGTAATGTCATATGTGTTAAGCACAATATATTCGCTTCTGGCTCATATTATCATGTTTACGTAAATTATGGCACAAAATGTTTAATTCTTCAATAGATTGTTTACAAATAAGTTCGTTCCTAAAATCGAGGTATTTACTACATCCGGTGTATGGTATCCGTAACAATGTAAGTCATTTCTAACGATATAAGACAGTGTTTCCCAAAGTGTGGTACGCGTACCCCCAGGGGTACTGGAACGGTTTAGTTGGGGTACGCGTTTTTATGCGGTAGCAAACGAAAATTTTATTTAAAAACGAAGCTAACCATAAAAATTTACGATTACGTATTTTTCTATTGGCTATTTTTTGCAGAGTTAACAGTTAATAATTAGTAGTGTCAACAGCTAGTTGTGATTTTTAACTTCTGTAAAAATTTTTGATAGTAAAAAATACACTCATTTTTTTACTAGTGGTACACAGCGTTACGAAAAATTTAGAAAGGGTACACAAAAGTCATAAGTTTGGGAAACACTGATTTAAGATAATCGAAGAGTTGTATATTATTCGTGTTGATTAAGAAATATATCTTAATGTTTGAAATTAACCTCCTATCTCTTAACTATTTGCAAGAAATCATATTCTATAATTTGTTTTCTAGCCAATCATATATATTTTAATTGCATCTACTTTCTTATATTTAATTTTTCAACTACACAATTTGCATCACTGTTTCATTTCATTATCTTGTGTACCTAATGTCGCTTGTGTTGAGCTCAATATGTGTTGAGCTTTTGAGTCATATTATCATGTTTATGTAAATTATGGCACACGCAGTGTTATTTCTGCAGTAGCTTGTTTACAAGTGAGCTTATTCTTGTATCCACAGCGATTTAAAACATTCGTAGCGTTGTATAATATTCGTTTCTATATAAACCATTTGTTAAAAATCATATTCTATAATTTGTTTCCTATGGCGTTCGTATATACCTTAATTGCATCTACGTTCTTGAACTTAATTTTTCTATTTCTTAAGTTTTCTTTAAAAATGCATGTTTGAATTTCCTTTTTTTAATTATTTTTTAATCTCGTGCAGGAATATGACTTGGAACAAAAAATTGACCTTGAAATCAAAATGCAGGAAGGTACAAATAAACTACTTGCTGCCTGCCGTTACCAACTTCAGTCATTGGAGGCAATAAAATCTCTTCTTACATCCAACGAAAGGATAAATTCCTATATGTTTGAGCTACAGAGACGGAAATCTCTTAAACAGAATAGCAAGTAAGTTACATTTTGTTTAATTTGTCTTGTGATGTTTAATTTAAAATTGCAAATTAACTATAGTTATATAAATAAAATTCTCTGCCCTATCTTTTTCTAAATCTCTCAATTCATATACGTTTTCTATGCTGACAATTACGTGTCATGTCTTTAAATTTTTTTAAGCATAATTCCCTGTCAATACAATCTCTTGAATGTTAATGTAATTTTTTTCGAAATCTGCTATGATAATAAAATATTTATGAACATTCTCTGAAAAATTCTGACTGAACTAGATAAGATATTCTAGAGAACTTTTTTTTTTCGGAAAAAAACACGTAATTCCAAGAATTAAAAATTAAAAAAATATGCGAAAATATATGATTGTGAAATACAATTTTTATTTGCAATGATGATAATGTATGCATCCCTTTAATCTTTAACATCTCTATATGTTTAATGTATGAATCACACGGCCTTTTACCAACATTTACATATGAGAGTATATATGAGAACATATATGAGTAACGTATGCTGCAGACTGTATTTTCACAATATCTATATGTTTTATGTACGCATCATCCTGATTTCTTAAAACAATATCTAGATATGTTATGTATGCATCTCACAGAGTTTTACATGCTTTATCAATACATTCCAAGCCTTTTAATAACATCTGTATAGGTAATGTATGCATTGCACTGGCAAAATATGCATATTTTATGTACGTTTCGCACTGCTTTTTAAACAACATCAATATGTATGAGTTATGCAGCTCACTGCTTTTAACTATATATGTATGTTTTATGTTCGCAGCATGCTGCTTTTTAAACATCTATGTATGTAACGTATGCATCACACTAAATTAACATCCATTTGAGTAATGTATGCATCGCACTTTTCATGAACAGCAACTTAGTTGATGTTCATAGTTGAACTATATACGCAATGCGAGTACATGCGTCACAATGTTTTTAAACATCATCTCTGCATAATGTACTCATCTCATTGTTTTTAACGATATCTATTTGTGGAATTAATCATCGGGCTGAGTTTTAATTTAATAGTAATATTTCACTTGTATTGTGTCACTCAAACATTTTCTTTAAAGAGATGTTGAAAACATGTGATGCTGATGTACAGTTTTGTTCAGCAGTATATGTATTGTATGCATAGCACTGATTTTTTTACGATCTATAAGTGTAATGTATGCAGCGTACCGTTTTTAACAACATCTATAGATGGAATGCATGCACTGTATTGTTTTCTCAACCTACATTTATCTATGGAATGTGTACTTCACTCTGTTTTTTAACAAAAACCATAGCTCAAGCTTTCAACGAAATAGATATACATTCTGACAGAAGAATGCCACGCTAATTTTATATGGCTTGCTCGTCTCGCTTACTGTAAATAACTTCCAATTAAATTTACAAATATTAGACAGATTTTGCTAGTTTTTTAAAAGGTATATATTTGCCATATTAGAATAAAGTGGTGAATTATATAAACCTACGAATTGTTTCGAAATAGTTATGGAAAAAAATCCACTAAATTGAATTTTTTAAACCAAGAATCGCAATAAATAAACTACCACTTGAAAATATTTATTCACAGTCCGGAGCACATTGGCATCTCTGTGTATATAAAACTATTTTTGTGTTTTCTATATTGCATTAATTTCTTCAAACCATTTAAGTAACGATAATAATGTAAGAGAATTAAAAGTTTATTCGAATTATGTGTTTCGAATGATCTTGGCTTCGCCAGTCACCGGTGACCCCCGTGGCACTACGAACAAACTCAGTACCGATCACCGGTGACCCCCATGCCATTCAACGTGTTAAGAAACAAAACACTTGCCAGATGAAAACTGTTCAATTGTAAATATAATCATAGTATAAAAAGCCTCGATCTCTCATATTTTGTATGGATAGCACTAGAGAGCACTTTTTTTCGTTTTTTTTTTCTTTTGCGTGAGATTTTTGAACGGACTAAGATAAATTCGCATCGCTGATTTCAAGTGGGCCATCAGTTTCTCTCTACAAGCAATAGTTTTCATGCAACTCAATAATATATTTCTAACCAGGATATATTTTTTTTTAATTTGAGTGAATACTAAGTGTACTCACTTCTCACCTACGTGGGAAGAATGCAATAATACATTTCAGTTTATGATGCGATACCTTAAGTTCATATATTTTTTTGTTTTAAGTGTTATTGTCGAGGAATCCGACAAGTGCATAGGTAGATGTAAAAAAAATTATGCGTTTTCTTTAAACTTTTACATTCTGACAAAAATAAACTAAATGAAAACATCATTTTTCCGAACAAAACTAACTTCAGATTTGAATTTCCCATACCTGAATTAGCTAAGATCGACTCCTTGTGTAATCCTTGTCAAGTACTTGTACACTTTGTTAAACTAAAAAAAAGGAAACAAAACTAATTTATTTCTATTTTTAATTTTGAGAAGAGAAATAGCTTTGAAATCCGAGACTTATTGCTAGCATGCAACTCAACCCGTTTAAGAAAAATTTAGAAATTAAATAGTTTTACTACCAGTTTTTTCTCTTTCTGGGGTTACAAACAGCCCTGATAGGAAAAGTTTTTAGACATGAGATAAAAAAAATAGTGCGTGGAGTCCCTCCGCGTGGAAGAAGTTAAACTTCGTAACCTGCGACGTTAATTGTAGAAGAATCAGCAGTCGTAGAAGGATCACTAGTTCTATTCAACGACTCTTTTTCCTGCTCCGTTTGCTTCCGTGCTCTGTAATAACGGTAATAATTGAGCATTTTTCCCTCGTGCACCTCTTGAACCAGTGGAAGTGCTTGTGGTTGCCTCATCGTCTCGCCCTGGAAAATGTATTTGTATTAATAATGTATGTGAATGCGTCATAATGTAATTTCAAAAGAGAAAACCTAACAATCAATTGATATGCACAAGAGACGTACCTTGATATAACCTTAAATCCGTCACATTGTCCGTGGGATTGTTTTCACTCATTTTTTACAATTGTTATCCACTAAATTTGAAAATAAAAAATACTACCCTATTAAATTATATGTGTATCAAAACAAACTAAAAAAATATTTATAGAAAAACAATACTTTTATGACTTTTATTATTTTTATGCTAGTGAGAACCAAAACAATATGGAAATGAATGAGGGAAAACTGGATCCTACCACGTGATTTCCCGGCCAATAAAAATGTAGCGTTAAACGTTTAGCGCAACCTTGTTGAAGTCGCATAAGAAGTATAACTTCTAAAGGACATTTTTGAAAAAAAAAGGTGGCACAGTTATGCGTTGACAAATTTTTATTTTCTAGCGTTGGATACCATTTGAGTTCTTATTGCTTGTATGCAACTCAACATACTAGTAATAAGTCTATAAAGGACTGTTTCTAATCTGTGAAAAGTAAATAGTGACGGATAGTTGATAATTAAAAACAATAAAAGTTTTCACTTAACCGTTTAAGAAAATTAAGAAATGAAATAGTTTTACTACCAGTTTTTTCTCTTTCTGGGGATACAAACAGTCCTGATATGAATAGTTTTTAGCCTGTCATACAGAGATGAAAAAGGACCTTTATGATAAAATTAGTTTCAGATGAATGTGTTGATATACTTCTTTCGTTTTATGATGAACATGATTTACAAAGAAATAATACAAGGGGTAAATTAATTCATTCAGCAGGTTCAACCTTTCTAAGAATGTTAATTTTTTCATTGGCGAATACCTCGCTGAAACAAGCAAATTTGTTTGGCATTTTCAATTTATGAAGATCATAGCAACTACATTATTTATGTGTTAGCTATGTGCTATGATATCAATAAAAATAATTCTATTAATATTAAATAAGATTATTAGGTCATTATTTTTATATTAACAAACGTTTAAAAATAAATGTGGTAGCAATGTTTATTATTTTTTTTCTTTATTTATACAAGTTTTCCATTTCCATGAAAATAAAAGTAAATTACGTCCAAACAATTTTAATAGACAACAGATTTCATTAAATTTGGAGAATCGATGCAAATGTTTTAAAAATATTTGTAGAAGTTATAAAATGTTTGCTCAAAAGAGCTTACTATTTTTTATGTTAATTAAAAGGAGCCTAAAGTAAATATAAAAAAAAATTTTAAAAAAAGTTAAGACAAAGAATAATTTACAATTCCTATGGAGGTTTAATGTCTGGAACTATTTGAGTAAGACATTAGATGTTCGTGATTTTCAGCAGGAAAGTTACAAAATCGACGGTGATTTTATAAGAACTGCGGTAATTATGGCGATCGATACATTATCAATCCCCTCATCCTATGACTCAGATCCAGGTCTGAAAGCCAAGACTAGAAAGAGGAAAAACGGTGCAAAAGACATTTTATTTTAACATTTTTATTCGAAAGAAATAAAATTTCTGTATCTACCAAGTTGTTGTTTTTTTAACATTTATAGCATATATATTAAACTGATCAAAATTTCTTGCATTAAGTGATACTCCGGGCAGCAAATAAATATTTCCAAGTGGTAGGATTTTGTATGAATTTTGGTTTAGAAAATTCGATTTATAAGTTCATTACTCATCACTAGTTCCAAATAATTCAAAGGCTTTTGTGATACGCCTCTGTGTTACAGTTATGCTGTGTTGAGCCTTTAAAAAGTTGTCGAAAATAATCGAAAAGCTGCCCATTTTAGCTTGTAGTTCGCGAACGTTTTTTGCAGAAAAAAATTTCGAATCCGGAGCAGTTTATATTTCTGTGTCATACAGTAAAAAAATTCTTTCCAGAATCGATTTAAATTTTCTCCAACCGTTAGAATTCCACAGATTATTCACTTTCAAATGGAAATCAAGCCCATGTCCGAGCATTAATAGTAATCACCCGGCCTTGATTTTTATGATTGCAGGAATGTGATTCTTCTGCTAATTCGCGGAATTCCGGGAATTTCAAGACCACTGTTTATTGGATTTCGGCAAATCAATAACTTATTTTCCGATAAAATTTTCTTTAAGTTCCGCTCATCTAAAATTTAAATTTTGTTACTTACGCATAATCTCGTTAACGAGGCATTTATTCCACCCTTAACAGCACATTCTCTTCCTTATTTTTCCTAAGTTCTTTTCCTATTTTTTTTTTTTTNTTTTTTTTTTTTTTTTTTTTTTTTTTTTTTTTTTTTTTTTACACAAATTGGAGAAAAATCTAACTTTCACAGCACGAGACTGAAAAAAAAAATTCCGAACTTTAGCTCGAACTGCTGAGGAAAACACAACAATATAAAAAAATGATAATCTAAAATGTATTTCCGAAATGACAAACATTTAAAAGACTGTTGGTTAGAAAAAATTGTGTCTTTTCTAACTTTTTTAAGCATATATTATAATGAGTAGCAATTTCGTTTCATATTCCGATCGTAACAGAAAAATTATTTAATCAAAGTGATATAAACTGTGATTATGTGATTTACCCACTTTTTTATTTGGCTACTAGTAGATAAAATTAATTTTTTATATGTGGTAAGGCATGGAAATTTCGAATCGCTCATTTCAGTAATCATTTTTCTATGAGCTCGATGACATCATAAATCCGTTTTTACAGCCTTTTTTCTGTTGCAGTCAATGCAATTGATTTTCTCATGGTTTTTTAAATTCTGAATTCATTGCGACGCGAAAAGTTTGATTACTCGTGCAAAATTACCCTCGAACATCTGCGATATTACTAAAATTTATTCGCAAATTTAAGTAATCAATGCGCTTGATTTGTGTCGATACCATCGTTGTTTTATTAACCACTATTTCTACAAATTTTCTCAATGTTTTTACGACACGCAAAAATTTGAATCGCGCGTTTAGATGATCGTGCATTTGATGAGCTTGATTTGTGTCGACTCCATCGTAAATCAATGTGGTGTTGAATTGTTTTATTGGCCATTATTGCTACTAATTTTCTCAATGTTTTTACGACACGCAAAAATTTGAATCGCGCGTTTGAGTGATCGTGCATTTGATGAGCTTGATTTGTGTCGACTCCATCGTAAATCCATGTGGTGTTTAATTGTTTTATAGGCCATTAATTCTATAAATTTTCTCGATGTTTTTACGACATGCAAAAATTTGAATCGCACGTTTGAGTAATCATTCCTTTGATGCGATGACTCGCAAAAAGCAAATAATGAGGATTCGGAAATTTTTTTCAATGTATATTTTAATGTGTTGATAAGAAGAAAAAAATAAATGTAATTATTTTTGTCCTTTCTACTTTTGTGCATAAAAATATGTTTTTTATTCTTCTTCTATGTACAAAAAGAAAAAAATTGTCAATGCAGAAACTCGTCTTCTTTATTTTTTTTAAAATTTTATTTATTTATTTAGTTTTTTGTTATTTAATTCCTTTTTAATATCCACTCCTCAATTATGTATGCAAAAGTACTTAAAATGCATTTTTATTTCATAGATTGTCTCAAATAAGAGCTCTCCCTTGCCGTGGAAAAGTTGCTATATCTGGTAAGCCTTTTTTACTCTTTGCAATTCCATAAAAACTCTTAAAAATTATTTTAAAAAATACATTCATGTATATTAGGTCAAACTCTTTACAAAAAGATGCAAAAACCTGCTTTTATTAAGAAAAAAAAAGTGGTAGGAGATTTACTCAAAAATATATATAACAGATGTACTGCTTTGTTCTATCGTATACTTTCGTTTCAAGCTTCAATGTGCAAGCACATGCTCTTTTGTGTCTTCTGTGCCTCTTTAAGCTAGAACATTGTCATTGAGTTAAAGTGTGGCATAATTCAGCGTTTCTCAACCTTTCAGTATTCGCTGCCCAGTTTTCAATCATAATTTTCATNCGATAACATCATAAATCCGTTTTTACAACCTTTTTTCTGTTGCAGTTAATGCAATTGATTTTTTCATGGTTTTTTAAATTCCGAATTCATAACGACGCGCTAAGTTTGATTACTCGTGCAAAATTAACCTCGAACATTTGCGATATTACTAAAATTTATTCGTACAAATAAGTAATCGTGCGCTTGATTTGTGTCGATACCATCGTTGTTTTATTAACCACTATTTCTACAAATTTTCTCGATGTTTTTACGACACGTTAAAATTTGAATCGCTCGTTTGAGAAATCGTGCATTTAATGAGCTCGATTTGTGTCGACTCCATCGTAAATCCATGTGGTGTTTAATTGTTTTATTGGCCATTATTGCTAGGATTTTTTCAATGTTTTTACGACACGCGAAAATTTGAATAGCGCGTTTGAGTAATCGTGCATTTAATGAGCTCGATTTGTGTCGACTCCATCGTAAATCCATATGTTTGATTGTTTTATTGGCCGTTATTGCTATAATTTTTCTCGATGTTTTTACGACATGCAAAAATTTGAATCGCGCGTTTGAGTAATCATTCCTCTGATGCGATGACTCGCAAAAAGCAAATAATGAGGATTCTGAAATTTTTTTCAATGTATATTTTAATGTGTTGATAAGAAGAAAAAAAATCAATGTAATTATTTTTACGCTTTCTAGTTTTGTGCATATAAATGTGTTTTTTATTCATCTTCTATGTACAAAAAGAAAAAAAATTATCAATGCAGAAACTCGTCTTTTTTATTCTTTTTTAATTTTATTTATTTATTTAGTTTTGTGTTATTTAATTCCTTTTTAATATCCACTCCTCAATTATGTATGCAAAAGTACTTAAAATGCATTTTTATTTTATAGATTGTCTCAAATAAGAGCTCTCCCTTGTCGTGGAAAAGTTGCTATATCTGGTAAGCCTTTTCTACTCTTGCAATTTCATAAAAACTTTTAAAAATTATTTTAAAAGATAATTAACATAACCGGAAAATTCTTTGCAAAAAGATGCTTTTATTATGAAAAAAAAGTGGTAGGAGATTTACTCAAAAATGTATATAATAGATGCACTGCTTTGTTCTGTCGTGTACTTTGGTTACGCATGAATATGTATGCACATGCTCTTTTGTATTATGTCTTCTGTGCCCCTTTAAGCTAGAACATTATCATTGAATTAAATTGTGGCGTAATTTATGCTTTAATATATGATGTTATTCATAAATTCGATTTATAGGGTTTTCTTCCATCCTACTTCTAAATAACTCAAAGGCTTTTATCAAACCTCACTTTGTTACAGTTTTTTCGTGTCGAGCCTTTTGAAAAAGTTGGCAAAACTAACAGAAAATCGGCAAATTTAAGTTCATAGTTCTCTATTATTTTGAAAAATATTTTGTAGAATGCCTCCTATGACTGAAAGCCTCCTCACGGCTTTTTGAGGATAGTCCAATCAGACCACTGTGGAAGTATGATATGATGATATGATATGATATGAATAGCGAGAACCTGGGTGCACAGCCGCGAAGCGGCCTTAACCCATTCATCGGAAATTGAAATTAGATATTGGGGGTGGGTAGGAGGGAAGGAATTTGGAAGGGGAGGTGCTTAGCACAAGTACGGCATGGAGAGCATAATTTGATTGGCCAGACATAAGTTGAGGCTAGTCGGTGATGAAATAGTACGATGATAGGTAAACACGATAAAATAAACAAAGTAATTGAATTAAAAGACTTGATTAAATAAATTAATTACATATTTACAAAATAGGGTAAAACGATAATGAAAGAAGCATTTAATACAAAATCTAGTAAAAATAAGATAGTGGTAGAAAATATATTTCTAAAAATTTGTTTAATTTTTTAATAGGATTGGTTAGCCTAATTTGCTTGTTAACCACTACAAATTCAATTCTCAAATATATATGTTAAATTTCTCTCAATTACTTTTAAAAAATAATTTGGGTTCATGCTCACAACTAGTTCATTTTTTAAATAGTTTGCGCTGACTACTTATAAAAAAGCGTGCGAGGCTTTGTAGAAAGGTAATGGTTAATCACATTTCCTATGGATCTTCTTGACGAAAATTGTGATTAAAATTTTTGATTTATTGAACGCAACGAGATAACTTGTAGAAAAAATAAATAAGAGAGAGTAACAAATTAATATTTGGAAGAAAAAAATGCCTTTTTCTTGGGGTTTGATTTAATCTTTTCTGAGAAAGCAAATTTTGACTGAACATTTTAGGCAGCCAATTAGAATTTTAGACAATTCGAAGTTGGAAGACACTGAGATCAGAGATTGCCTGTGACTTCATCTCTAAGTTCTTTAAAAATTAGTGGTAGCTTAAAACGGTGGAATTTTTGAAGTAAATGGTTATATATTTTCAATGGTTTGAAATGAGTGATTCCAGACTGGCAACACTTATTAGAAAACTTACTTTAACCCCTTGGGGACGGGTGATTCAGAAAAGCATTCGTACAAAATCAGAATCAAGTTGTAATTAAATAAAAAACGGTAACTTAAATGTAGTCGTTGCTAATTTGAAAGACTTACTTTGCTTTTACTTTAATTATTCATAGTTTAATCATATACATAATCAATGTTAATTCAAAGTATAACTAAATAGTTTTATTTTGAACAAAGTAATGGTGAATTAAATAAATCAAACAATCATAGCCCCTCCCACAAATAAACTGCTGAAGAATTACTTTGATTACCAGTTTTATCTTTTTACCCTGATTGATTCGGTTTTATGCTGGCACGAATTTGTGACAGTCGGCGCGAAAGGGTTAATTTTACTTTATTTACAAAAATTGGGCACCTGTGCCGTGCAGAAGGCCCATATCCCATACTTCAGAAATTAATATTTTATTTTTATAATAAAAAAACAGTTTGAGTTCAGCAGTCAATGGGGTGGCTGTTACTGACTTATTCGAAAAAGGGAAAGGGGTAGAACGTCATGTCTGCACATTTAAATATTTTGTGGTATTCTCAATTTATTCCGCTTTTACAAGAAGGAAAATTTTAGTAAAAATACGGGGCAATTTTTCTGCGTTTCTTTTATTTTTGCAGAGAGCAACAATTTTTTCTTTGCAGAAATTTAACGATGCAAGAATAAGAGAAATCTATGCAATTTTTTTAAAAGTCTTTTTTTTTTCAATGTATCTATCTGTAATGTTTCATTTTTTTCATCTTAAATCCAATTTCAGGGATGCCAAATTGCTCCGCTTTGTAAAATAGTATTTTCCAGTGGTAGAGAAATTTAAGTTACTTTTAGTTTAGTATTTTTAATTCCAAGTAATTTTTTCACCACTAAATATCAAAAATTATAAGTATCATATAAAATGCAACGTTACAACGTCTATCTGCTGGTTACTCTATTAAAAACAAAGCGTTACTATTTTTCTCTAACTAATTTTACGATATATTTTGCTATCACTTTATAAAAATTATTCCAGTAAACGGAGCAGTTAGCATCCCTGCAATTTTATAAATTAAAAAAATAAATTCTTAAAGTTTAGACTTTGCTTCTCTTTAAATAATTGGACAATCAACTGGGGCGATTATGAAAAATTGTTTTTAGACTCAATTTATAGGAAAATTGCCTATAAGGAAAATAAATAAGTAGATTTGAACGCTTTGTGCCACTTTTCAATCAATTCAAACAAATTTTAAAAGTTAAATATATGAACCATATAATGTTCTTATTTTTTTAGAAGTCGTTTAAATTTTTCGTTTTATTGTGTATAATTCGAACGCTGCGGAAAGGATTACTTTATCAGTTTTTCAATGCTTTTTTTAGAATAAAATATCTTATTCTCTAAAGTTAAAGTGCTTTATAGAATGTTTTAATTCGAACTACTTTTTCAGACATACGGATGCCTCTTATTTGGAAAGACAGCGATCACTTCAAAAACCGAGGTGATTATCGTCGCTTTGCTGTCTTCTGCTTGCTAAAAGTAGGAACTGAGGTTCAAGACACGGCTATGATCAATAATGTCGACAGAAGTATGACTGACATTGCTTTCGAAGATGTAATACTTTTGTAAGTAATCATCCTTTTTTGTGCAGCTAGAGATTCTACTTTTACCTTTAAAACATATAATATCCAGAAAATTAAATATCCTCCCTTTAACTCCTTGCTAGTGGAATATATTTGAGAAAACTGTGCCAAAATTAGGGGAAGACACTTTTCTCTTTAATTTTGTTCGTTATTATCATCAAAATGTTTGAAATAGTTTATTTAAAAAAATTAAACAAAATAATTATTATATTCAATATTTTCACCTGTATGGGAAATGCTAATGAAGTAGAGTAATTTTTCTCAAACTATAACAAAATAAATCAAATGGCATAATTTTAAAGATAAATATAATAAACTAATACAAAAATATTATTGTTTACATCAACTGTCATCAATTCCGTGTCATTCGGATTCCTTAAAACTTGAAAATTACAAAAATTCCGTCGCCATCTATTGAGAAAATTGTAAATTGCATATTATTATGCACTGGACGAAATGAGTTCGGGTTTCATGGAATTAAAGCACCGATTTTTCTCTTGCCTGAACTCAGGTTGGTCATTCCATAATTGGCTCATTTGCGTTTCCCGAAGTGGGGGGGAATAAAAATCGGTACATACAATGGTTAGAAATCGGTCAACATTATACAGAAATAAATATTTTTAGCCAACTCCCCCCTCCCCAGGAATTGTTAGGTAACAATCTAAGCACGCTTAATTACAGCGATTTATTATTATTGTGCGAGATTTGTCAAATTAAAATTAAGTTTTCGCTCATAAATTTTAATTGTTTTTCAGTTATACTGACTCCCGGAGGCTGAGCGGTAGCGCTTCGCGCTGTAGTGCCACAGGTCCCTGGTTCAATCCTCGGGCTGGGCAAGGTTGACTCAGCCTTTCATCCCTTCAGTGGTTCGATGAATGAACTGTTCCTNGCGCCGCTGAGTTTAGTTTTTTGTGTAATACTAAAAAAATTCACTTGAAAAATTATTAAACTGAGACTCGAGTAATAAAGCATTAGTTTTACTATTAATTGGAAAACTCTTCCGTGAAAAATGTAAATGGCAACAATTTGCAGAACACTCCTAACTACACAAAAATTATTTGAGTATTTGTGTGAAGCATATCTAAAAACATATTGAAGTATTTTTTTCACAGAGATGCATTAAAGAGTTTACACTTTATTTAACGGTAGAGCTAATTTATTTCATGGCATTATGTAACTTTCGTTGGACAGCTGATCCAATTTTTAATTTACTATTATCAATATTTAACTCCGTAGCTTTGCAATTTTGAACTAAATCCAAACGACAATGGAACTGCTGGATTAAGCATTGGGAGAAATTTCCCTTCGACTTTTTGAAGGAACTAACACGTATTTGCGTTACTAGTAGAGGAAAACGACGAAAATTTTCCACGGTTAGCCTGAATGCAAGAGAATTATAACCCATGATCAACCTACCACTGATAATACATTACGTCAGCACTATGGTCGGTGTCAGCCGGGTGCGAAATTTGTATTGACCAGCCATCGCTGGGATTCGAACCCAGGTTACCTAATTGAGAGGCTAGTGCTCTATCCCCTGAGCCACCTCGGGTCACGACTTCTGTTACTTATTTAACTTTAATTCTATAACATGCTTAAATGTGTTAAATTATTTGATTCCGAGTGTCAAAAAAGGCAAAATTACTTCTTTTCCTTAACACCTAAAGTAAATACAATTTGATTTAAATATTTCAATTTTACTTTGTTTAAAATTTAATATATTTGAATGTAATACACATATTTATATACTTCAAGAACACAACTAATCTTTTGAAACTAATGACGTTCAATGGGTATTTTAGTTTGTAGTCATCATGTAAAAGCTTTTCGATAAATTATCAACATAAAAATTTTATTCCTCTGTTCATGGTAAAATGTCTCAAAGAGCAAAAGTAAACAAAATAAATAAATAAACACGATTACTTGTAAATACACCAAACTCCAGAGTATTCAATCCTTAAATCTACAGCATCAACTTAAATTTGTATAGGAATTGTTATACAAATTTATTTATTTTAAATTTGTATAGGAATTGTATAGGATAGGTTTGTATTTGTATTCTGTATAGGAAGGGAGGAATAGCGCGCTCTATTGTGTATAGAGGAGTGTGTATAAAAATAGGGGTGGACACCAGTGTATAAGGGTAGGTATAAAAATAATTGAGTATTCTACTGTGACTAGGCCTAAAATAACTAGGGCTAATTGTTTGGACGTCACACAGCCTATTATACATCTATGGTTGCATTTCATTACATTCATATTTTATGTCTCTCTTAGTTTTATTTAATATTAAGATAATTAAAATAAATATTATGCATTATGTGCTTAAGAAATTGCATTCAATCTTTTATATTTATGTATTTATTTGTTAATAAACGTTTTGTTTTTATTTTTGCAGCAATAATGTATCTCATGATTTTGAGTTCCGATTGGAAGTCTATAGTCACGTGTTACAGGAGGATTTAAGTATTGCCAGCGCTTCAAATAAATTAAAGAAGAAAATATCATATTCTGTTAGCAGAGCTATTGGCAAAAGATTTTCAGAAAATTATGTAAGTATTTAATGCTTTATTCCCGAACGCAAAAATAAAAACAAAATAATTTTTTTTTGTTGTTATTTGGTGTATTTATTTTTTAAATTAGTTTTCACAAAATAACATAATACAACGTTTACATAAAAGAATATTTTACTTTTTAAATTAAATCACTTTTTGCTGATTTCTGGCCGAATTATCTTAGATTAAGTCTTTTAATTCTTAATAATGAAGTGTAAGTAAACTAATTGAAGTAAGCTAAAACTGAGTAAAAATTAGTAAATAAACTAATTTTTTTAAAGTAACTAACTTACTCAGTAAAAAAATCTTCACTTAAGTAAACTAATTTGGTGTAAAAAAATTTTTTTACCCTAAATTTCAAAATGCCATTTTTAAATTGGGGTTTAAAAGTTTTGCTTAACATATAAATAACCAACAATAATTATACCAACAACAATTGTACTGATTACTATAAAAAATTTTAAGGTTGCTTTTTGAATTTGGAAAAGGTGGGTTAATGAGTTATAAATTAAAGAACTTCTATCACCTCCATTTGTTAGTGATTCAGTTTAAATTTACATTTTTAAAGAATTTATAAAACTCACTTTTAAAACTGTTGACCTTTTTTCGCATTAGCTGATTTTATCTAAAATTGAAATAAAATTAATATTTCCAGTTTTTGTTTCAACTTATTTGATAAATTTTTCTAAAACGTGGACAAACTCCATAAGTTTTATTTCACAAAATGACAACTATCTGGCAAAAAATCTTCTCCAACTGAGTTATAAATTTCTCGATTCAAAGATCGCACGTGTTTTGGAAAAAGTTTAATTAATGATAAAAAAAAATTGCTACAAACATTGAAATTTTTGAAATATTTGTGACCGCCACTTTACATTATTATTCAAAAATTAAAAAAATAATTTCGAATTCACTTTCATTAGTATCACAACCTTAAAGAGGTATCTATCTTAAAATCCTTTTTTTTTTTCTATTCCTGTCGTAATATTGTTATTATTTTAAAATTTTCTCAAAGAAATAGAGAACAACTTTTAAAATGTTTAAGACCCTTGAGAACCCTGTCGATTTTTTGTCAGTTTGCCATGCTGAAACTAATTTCATCAGCAGAAATCATTTTCATTTGACATGTAAATCTTTCATTTGCCATGGAATTCAGTTTGGAGTTACCTTTTAATCTCGTCCTTTTTTTCAATATTTCCTGCCATGAAAAGGAAAGCATACAAGGGAGAGTTAGGAAACATTTTAGATGCTATTTAAAATGGCATTGCAAAGGATATTAGCCCGTGGCGTCAAATATTTAAGAAAAAAATTCAAGTGTAACTAGAGGAAAAGAGTGGCGTATTTCATGCGGTTATTATCGTTTTATAACAGTTTAATATTGCACGTGCTTATCTTATTCTAAAGTATGCTTACACAATTTTTTAGGTTCATATCATACTATTTCTGTGTAAAATTAGAATAATAATAAATATATGAGTATATTTATATTTATCTAACTATCCTTGAAAAAATACTATTATTTTTTTTTATATGTTGTTTTTAAGACTTTTTCTTTAATGTTTTTGGAAAAAGTAATGATAGAAAGTACAGCACAAATAGCCAATAAGAAACTTTAGTTGAATTCATTAATTCCACAAAGAGTTACAAATATTTACACATTTACCTAATTTTCCTAAACATTTTTTTTCCAGAAAGAAGATCTGAATTTCAAAACTGGGTAAATATCTGAATATTTTATAGTAGTATAGCTATTTTATAGTAGTATATTTCCGTTTAATAGTTCACACTTAAAAACAAATCCATTAAAAAAAATTTATTTAATTCTAATTTAGATTTTCTGAACACTAAGATCAAGATATAAATATTTAAAAAATCAATGTGGAGTCATATTTGTTTAATATCCAAATCACCAACACAGCTTCAATAGTTTGGTATATTTCTAATTTGTCTGAAAAGTAATATCACTGGGTTGATGAATAACCTTGTATTTTTCCGGGTATATTTCTAATTTGTTGGAAAAGTAATATCACTGGGTTGATGAATAACCTTGTATTTTTCCGATAAGAAAAACTCATAAATGAACACGCGTTTTAATTAAAATCTTATAAATAACTTTCAGTAAGATTTCTGAGCATCAAAGGCGTCACAATAAGCTTTTTACGGATTGTCGTTTAGAGCCTTATTGAAGATTCTTTGGCTTCGAGAGCTGTCCTAAAATGATATACTTTCTTGGAAGATGTCATGTTGACTCATGAAGGAATAAAAGAGAGCTATATCAGCACTTTAGGATGACTCGAGAGCCAATGGCAGCTTTGAATCTATCAGAAAGCGGATCAGATCTCAAAAAAGGCAGAGCTGCAACTCCCGTTACTATAATGGAATTTACAGGATAGTGTGTTGGAATCTCAATGAAGTGAACCAGGTTCGAATCCGAGTCACTCGTATTAACTGGTTGATACGAGTTCTGCTCCCAACTAGCACAGAACACAGGATAGCCTGTATGCCTCGCAATGAGCTGAACCAGGTTCGATTACGACAGGTGGCTAGTTGATACGAATTCTGCTCCCAGCTAGCATCGAACACACTATAGCGTGTTTGCTCCCGATGAGGTGAACCAGGTTCGATTCCGAGTGATGACTGGTTGAGACGAATTCTGCTCCCGGTTAGCACTGGACATAATGTATCCTCAGTGGTAAACGGAGCACGGGTTAGAATCTCTTAGAATCGGAATATTCTTAGTAGGCTTTCGTGGTTTTCCTCTCCTTGTAATGCAAATGCGTGTTACTTCCATCAAAAATCCTCCACGAAGACTAGTTTGCCCACATGCTTGATTCAGGAGTTCCTTTGTCTTCTCTGTAGGGTTCAAAATAACGAGGCTACGGAGTTCAACATTGATAGTAGTTAACTCAGAATTGGGTCGCCTGTTCAATGTCGGTTGTGAAATAAAATACATTTGTCTACTGCGTCTGGTTGGGACTGTTTGTTATCTGTGTCATTTAACGAGCACTTAAAAGACTGCCAGAGTTCACGAATTCAGTCCCACTTTCTTCTGTTGTGGTGTCATCTGTCACTTCACATTTTGATAATATTTAGCATCTCTGAAACCTGAAAATTATATCATGAAAAAAGTTTACATTGCAAACTTGCAGACGCAAAACAAGATGGTAACTCATTGTGAGCTGCATGTTAGTTTGCACGAGAGATAATAATAAAGTTTACAAAAATGTGTGTTCTTATTTTTTGGTTGATGGGAGATAATTGAGTAAACCACGCACGAGTAAACTGATAATCTTCTTTATTGATTACAACTTGTCTATGCGTGCTGGAACAGGCATCAGCTTCACAATAAAATCAGTTACGTTACTTTTTGTATGTTTTTGTTCATAAACAAAGCTGAATATTCACAGTGCGGAACTTGGGATAAAATAATTGGACGTGCCTAGCATTTCAGTGACTTAGGACGAAATAAAACACATTTGCTGCGTTTTCAAACTTCTCGCTACAAAATACTTTTGATAGCGAAAGTTAGAGAATACAATTTGATGGAGAAAATTATAGAAATTAAAAATTTGAAATAATAAGTCAATCATATAGTAATAATATAAATATTTTCATATCGAAACAATTAAAAAGTTTTCTAATTTTAAATTTCTTCAAGCATGATGAGCTTATAAATTGAACTTATTTTTCTCGACTGTAAATTTTAGCCGCCCTGATTATAATAGTTGTCAAAGTATGAAGAGGCATCTTTAAATTCTACCTTAACTCTTAACATTCTAATCGCGATCTTTTTTTATCTTTGTATCTCTCTGTATGAAATTCAGCTTTTTATAGAATAGTCATTGAATAAAATGGCTAAAATCGGTCATCACACATTGCCTAGGTTTTCTATGGAATGACTAAATGAAAATCCTACATGCATTTTGAACAATCACTTGGCGAAGTGTATAATAATTCTCATATCATACTTTGTATTTCTATAGAATGCCTGTATTTCTATAGAATTCTTTGTATTTCTATATTTTTTTAATTCTATAGAATGCCACGGTATTTTTCACAATAGGTGGGCTAAGTTTCCGTTGATGGCGTTCGAAATAAATCTCATATATTGAACGCCAGAAATTCTGTAGAATGTTGATATTTCATATATTGCTGATAACATATATGTCAATTCAGAAGTTTTAGCCCCTAAGAATATTTAAAATTTAATAACATTAATTCTTTTGGAAAAAAAATATTTTTTACTTTTAAACTATTAGTTAGATTTTTAATCTGATGTACTATGGCCTTGTCTCAAAATGAATTCTTATGACGTATATAACAGCTAACCAATCCCTGGTGGAATCATAAGCTGGTGTAGTGTATTAAACTGTAACCGTCATGGTGTATATTTATTTTGAAGCAAATAAAATTCTAATTTTGATTTTTATAAAATTACTTTCCATTTACTCTTTGTAAAATAAATTTACCTGGTTTTATTTTACTTTTAAGCCATATTAAATATTAGAATTTAAGACAGACTTTCGATTTACTTTTAATTTTTTCCTTCAGCTTTTCAGAGTTTGACCTCGTTGCCAGTGCCAAACTAAATTTGAATGATGCCAACTCACGAATTAAAACCTATGATTTAAACCTGGAAACACCAGAAAAGAGTCAACTTCCCCTTTTCGGACACTTCTGTTGTCGTCTTGCAGTTCAACCTACTTGCATGATAGACGAGACATACTCAGGCTACTTGAGTCTAGTCAATGTAAGAATTTAAAGATTCTTCAAATTTTTCTTCTACTCAATTTTATTCAGTCTTAGATTGCTGCTCCAAATACATAAAATAATTTAAAATAGTATTAAGAATTTCGTGAAAATCATGAATTTTATACACTATTCAAAATTATCGGACTGACACATTTCATGAAAATTTCATGAAATGTGTCATCCCGATCCAGTCTGTTGAAAACGTTACAATTAATTTAAGATAATTATGACAATTTAGGATGGCAATTCTAATTTAGAATAATTATGACAAATGTACTCATTATAAATTACACAGCGGAACAATTTGTTTTGATGTTGTATCAAATTTTTGAGCATCTCTTATATATTTTAGCGCTTCTGATTTCAAACCTGCAATCGGCTCGTCTCTACAAGTTACATTTTTTATATACCTAAGAGTTAGGCTGTCTGCTTTCTACCAGAGAAGTCCGGGGTTCAAATCCCAGCTGGTATGGTTGAATTTTATAAAAAGCTTGATAACTATTTTACTCAATTTATGAATTCATATTTTTTAGTTTAAATTAGTTTAATAATTTTTAGAAAAAATTACATTAACACAAAAAAGTTATTATTATTTTTAAATTTTATACTTTAAAAAAATTATTTAAAAAGCTACAAAATTATCAAATTATAATTAAAATTTTGTAATTTTTTTAAAAAATAATCCATACATTTTAATTTAAAAAAATATCTATAAACCTTTTTATTTTTAAAAATTTTATTTATTTTTTAAAAAAATTTAATTTAAATTAAAAAAATAATAATTTATAAATTGAATAAAGCATATTAAATAGTTATCAACATTTTCAAAAAAGAAAATTATCTATAAAATTCAAAAGTTCCAAATGGGAGTTGAACCCCAGACCCCTATGTTAGTAAGCAGGCAATTTAGGCACTACAACGCTAATATATACCAGGAGGAGAGTTTTGTCAGTTTAAAAGTAAATAAACTGATATTTTAATGAGGTATATTCTTCGCAGGGGATCATTTTCACTCTAAACAAGGTTTTCAAAAACGCAGTAGAAACTTAATATAAAAAACTATAATTGGCTAAATTTTCTCGTTACAGCAAATTGGTAACATAACTGGTTGTAGAAGAATGTTAGCTTCACTAAAAAATTTCTCTCTGTCTATGTGGGCCAACTTCGCTGAAGTTCATAGTTCAAATCCAGATATTGTCATACCAGTTAAAACGGTATGTATTATTTTCATATATCAATTTCATAATCATGCAATTTTTCATGAAAAACTTAGTAAATTTCTGCGTAAGACTTCAAAATTTTTTCCCATATCTTTATATTTTGTATTTGAACTACAATCGTCTCTACAAATAATATCTTAATAGAAAAGCTTATTTTATCCTAAACCTAATAAGTGTTTTTTCTACACCCAATGGTGGCCAAAAATTTTTCAGGTGGTAATAAACTAATCACCAAAACACGTGGAAATTGCTTAAAACAACAACCACTTAAATTTAAATATTATTCACTGTGTAGAGAGCCAGGATAGCCTGGTTGGTAGGGCACTGGGCCCATGTCCAAGAGGGCAGGGGTTTGATCCCCGTCGGCCGAAGACTCCCCTGTAGGAAATTGAGACTGATGCACGTTAAATCTGTCGAGTCACAAAGTCCTCCATGTTCCCATAACAAATCATACCTCTGGCGGTACTGATCCAGGAGTTTCCTTGTTTTCAGGATTGGTTCAAAGCTACAAGGCTACAGAGTTAGGTCGGTTGTTCAACGGTTATAAAGTAAAATAAAATCACTGTGTAGATGTCATATTTTTATATACGTATTTCAGTTAGCGTATTGTTCAAGTGGTTAAAAAGCGTGACATGACATTTTTTGGAAAGAAGCCACATATTTTATAATATTAATTTTGATATCACTTTTATTTTGACAGACAAGTCCTGTGTTTATACATTTTACGTTAGTAGTAATATTAATTACTATGTGTATTTTATTTTTATTTTATAATATCGGCAAGCAATTAATTATCCCGATCAGATTAAAAAAAATTGCGTTTACGAATTTCTTCGTTAATGCATATAATAGTGACTATCATTTCTCAATAAAATTTAGAACATGTTTTCGAGCAACGTTTAACTTTTTCCTTTCATTTAATATTGATAATAATATTAAAAGTGTTGTATATATGGAAACACTTCTATGGTAACTAGTATATACTATTCTATGCAAACAGTTCTTATTATGGCAGTATCTTTTTTTGAAGATTTCACACGGCAAAACTGTTGGCACAATTTGAAAAATCATGCTTGAAGCTTTAAGAAATAGGGTCCATTTTACGCATGCAAAATTTACACCGACCAAACTGAGCACAGGAAGTCGAAGCCTTATTTTCTTTTCCAATACCGTAATAACTAAAAAAAATTATAATATAAATATTACAATCCTGTAGAATGATTTTGATATTACTGGTACTGAATCTTAAAAAAAAGTTATTAACTTCCTTTCCTCGTTTTGGTTGATCCGAATTCTGCATGGGTAAAAAGACACTATTTCTAAAAGCCTCAAACATGATTATTCAGACTGTGCCAACTGTTTTACCATGTAAAATCATATAAAATACTACCTGCTAATATACACCGAAGAACCATTACATTATGACCACCCTCCATCTATAACAATGGGCTCGCTCAGGTTTTCATGGTTTCTCGCCCAGGCACAATGTTTTCATGGGGCACATTAGGACCCATATACCTCATAGAACAATCCCTGACGTCTGTAAGCTACTTGAACATAGTTGAAGACCAGATTCACCCATTCGTGCTGCCACGCTACCCCCTCGCAATGTGAGGGAATTGCAGGACTAGTTGGTGAGCGCTTGGTACCAGATACCTCAGACTACCTATCAGCACCCTGTGGGATCAATGCCACGGCGGATGCTAGCAGTTTTGAGGGCTAAAGGTGGTCCTACATGTTATTAGCAGGGTGGTCATAATGTAATGGTCCTTCGGTGTATAAGCTCGTATGTAAGCGAAGTAAACATTGAAGTGTTACCATATTTTTGTACAACCCCTGTAACAATCATTTCTTGAAGACTATGGGACACGTTTTCGAGTTATGTTTACATCATTTCCCATTAATCCTGTTAGCAGAATCATGGCGACTTAGTCGTAGTACGTTACCGAATTCTTTCGACCTCTGGAAATTTAACCTCTGGGAAGTAAAAAATTTCGGTTTTCTTTTCTGCAGAAATTTTGGGTCTATTTTTTTAAAAAAACAGTTATTACTGTTGATTTCCACATAGCTTTTAAAATTTGATATTTTTCATACGAAATTATTTACTACCACGACTGAATCTCGAATTGAAAAGAAGCATTTAGTAACCCCTTTTTGAAGAGTCCAAATAGCTTGATTTCGCCGTCGATCTTTTTTTTTTTTTTTTTTTTTTTTTTTNTTTTTTTTTTTTTTTTTTTTCGTTAGTTACTGCTACTGACGTTTTTGTCATTATATTTTTCAATGATGATGATTTACAAAATGCGAAAAAGGAAATAATTAGTGTACAAATGCAAAAATCCCTACAAAATACGAGAAAATCGCTCATAATATTAGAATGACAAAAATATTACATATTCAATTTTAAAAAAAATTTTATTTGATCCAAAACATTTTTTTTTCTATTTTTAAGTTGACGCTTCGGTTACTTTAAATTAACAACATGTATAATTGTTACTTTTATATTTTGTATAATTGTTATTATCTTCTGGAAACATATTAGGTCACAGAAAGTCCGAAAAAATTCTGCCACAAGGCCTTTAATATCAATAATAATAGTAACTATCATTTCAAAAAATATCGCAAGACACATTTTTGAGTTATGATACCTTTAATTTTTTAATATCGATAAAAGTAATTATCATTTCAACTTGAAACTCATTTTTAAGTTATGTTTATCTTTTTTTTTCTTCTTTAATATCGAAAACTTTTGCTATCATTTCTTAAAATGGTGGTGAAAAACTTTTCCGATTTATGTTTACCTTTTTCTTCTTTAACTTTCTTTTCGTTTGATAACAGTTACAATCTTTTCTAGGACAATAGCTTAGAAACACTTCCATAATTGAGTTATTTTTTAAATAGTTCATTATCTAAAATATCTAATGAAATCGAAAATGTCTAAAATGTTGATGATTTTATATCATTTTACCTCACGTGAAAAAGCTAAGAGAGTCTAAATTTAATGTCTTGTAAATCTTTGAAAAGCATAGACCTGCTTGCTAATTAATGTTAAGGTAAAAATTAAATTATTTTTAAATGAAAAGTTACTGACTATAGACTACTTATTGTTTATCTGCAGGGGACGATAGTGACTCCAAGTTCCAAAGCCATATCGTATCCTAGGTTTAGTTTTAAAATTGAGTATAGCATAGATGATGAAAATAAGGAGTTTCTATTGGCTGCTGACTCTCCTATCCAACTTAATGAATGGCTGAACCATATTAACCAGCAAATAAAAGATTATGGTGAGTAGAATTCGGAAACCTTTTGGCTTGTTATATTTGAGTATATACATGATTCATATACACCTGGAAAGAAATTAAAAAATGGTAGTAATGTTAATAAAAATTTTTTAGCAATAATATATTTCTTGCTACCAGAATATTTTATTTTCTTTTAGTATATATACCGATCCGCACGGATAATATACAGAAATCTTATTTCGATATCGCATGGTTCGCAAGCATCTGGANACTGTGATAAAATTCCAGATGAATGGGATAGGGGTCGCTTCGTGGCCCAGGTGCCCAATAAAATCAAAACACTAGGACTAGGAATATACAGAAATCTTATTTCGATATCGCATGGTTCGCAAGCATCTGGAAAAATTTAATATGTTCAATACATTGTTACAATTAAGTTCGAACGAATATTCTAAAACGAAACTATTCAGTCAACTGTAAGTAATTAGATCTTATTTAGATATTTTTTTAAATCCTTAATTCGTCGTGCTGGTTTAATTTTTAAAAAAAAAACTTTTTACGTACTAGATTTAATACGCCCAAATTTTACTGTTACTATCACTAAGAAAATTATTTTACAACGTCTGTACAAACTGAAAATTCTGCATTAGACTCCTTCGGATCTATACATATTTATTTAGAGAAAATAAAATATTCTGGTAATTTAAAACATAATAATTTAAAAAGTTCATATTGATTTTTTTACCACTTTCTAATTTTTTCCAGATACGTATGAATCCTGATACATTAGCATACTTGCCAACTTTTACACAACTAGCATAAAATTTTATTTCTGGATTTAAAGTGGTTGTAAAATGTATGCTTTCTAATGCATTTCTTGCATTTATAAACTTAATTTATAATCTTTATGATCACCACTATTTTTAAAAAAAACTAAACTTATATATAAATATTTAATACTTTCGTGGTTGTCCGCGTAAACTTTTCCAAAATTCAGCTTATATTTCTGCCTAATCTTATAATTTAAATTCAAGTTTACTGCCACTGGGGAAACTCATCCTCGAAAGGATAAAAAGTTGACAGATATGCATTAGGTCTGCTAGAAAGTTCTACTCGCGAACATACACTCCTGCTTTTATAGCAATGCAAAAGATTCTTTATTAAAAGAAAGTGGTAGGTTATTTACCCTTTTAACTCAATGGTAATGCTCTAGCTTAAAAAGACATTGGTTGTATAGCACAAAAGCGCATGAGCAAAAATATTCAAACTTGTAACAAAAATATCCGACAAAACTAAGCGGTACGTCTCTCACGGACAAAATTTTCCGATAGATCTAAAAATTGAAAAAAACCATATAAATTTTAATTAAAATTATTATAACTACCGTTACGTTTCAAAAATGTGAAAATACATTTTGAAGAATTACTGCACATGGTTAGATAATTCGTATAGTGGACAAAACATAAATTAAAAGCCTATTTTTAGTGTCAATTCCAGTTTTATTTTTTTACCACAAGGCTGAAGCTTCATTGAAAAACGTAAAAGTTGACAGCTAGTTTTCGAGAAGTTTAAAATGTGAAAAACTGCCAAGGTTTAAAGTTATAATATACATAATTTCCCGCAAACTTAAAAACCCAGACTTCACACGTTCACGCCGGGGTGACCCACCGGTGGGTCACGCTAGATTGTCTCATCTTGGCAGCGCAACTTAGTTAAAACTGGTAACTGGTAACAAATTTTTAGTTTTTTTCCGGGAATAATAAAAATCCATAACTACCAATTGTTTTTAACGGATGCAATTTTTACATTGAATTGCTTCTTCGCCGTGATAAATTTCCTTACAGTAAATTGTTATTGTTGAGAATAAATTAACTCCTCCCGAATATTATCTAATATTGAAATAGTTCTTCTACCAGTATTTTCTCTTCTCCGTCCCGCTTTGAGGCGCAACACCCGGCGTGAACGTGTTAAAGAATAAGCACGCAAGAAGAAATATTGATTTTCTCTCCTACATGAAACTTTTTTAATTTTTATATAATTTCTATACTTCACTGACTATTATAAACACACTTAAAGGTAAAACCTCAGATACACAGCTTCATTTGATAAATAAATTAAATACCTGACAACTTGTACAGTTGTAGAAAAAGATTTCTCAAAGTGGTAGTTAAAACAAAAATTAAGTTTAGAAGAATTTTCTAAACGCAAAACTATTAAGTAATGTGTAATTTTTGTGTATATGTGTCCCTTTTTTTAATTTTTTTTTTCATTTTATTTTAAGATTTGTGGAAGCCAGCTTCAGAATCAATCATGGAAATATCTTCCCCCTGTGTTTGTAGAAATTCTCAATTCACAAAGCACCGAAACAGCTCATTATACGACGAAACTCCATTCATTGGTAAAATACTATTTTATAATCCCTTATTAAAATTTATATGTGTGCTAAATTTTACACTTCCATTTATTTTGACAAAATGTGCTTTGCAATTTATTTGCAGTCAATGCATATCACATGATGTATATAGATTGCACCAAATAAATAGCATATTAAAAATTCGATTTCTAAGGAATTATTAACCGATTTCGCTCAAATTTTGTATTTTGCCTTGCAAAATTACATACTTTAAAATGACGCAAAAAATTTTATACCTTATAATTCAAAATTCTTTCGACTATTATTAAATAAAATAATAAGTATTCACTAAAGTTTACTTTTTGCAAGGAATTATCTTCGGGTGAACGAATTTTTTAATTGTGAGCAAACACTTTTGAATTCGCTTAAAAAGATATAGAGATATGGCGTAATATAAAAACTAAGATTAACATTAAAGGGTTCTAACTATGAACAGAAAACTAAGATTAACATTAACAGAAACTAAAATCAACATTAAAGGGTCCAGACTTTAGATCCAGAAAAAAATAAAGCAAAGAGCATAGTTATTTAAGAATATTGACATAGCATCTGTTTCTATTTTTGAAGTTATTGCAATGATTACTTTATTTTAAATTAAATAATTATAAAATAATGATTCTTGCTTACAAATTTTTAAAAAATAAAAATAAACTACACGTATATATACTTTTTTCACGAGATGTGTTCAGTATGAAAATTTGACTACGCCATTTAACATTGAAAAAGTGCAATTTGTATTTCATCCCCAAATGCATATTCTAGGTTTCTTTAAATCCATTCTGAGCTATGCTCTTTTTTTTTTTTTTTCAAATAAAATTTTCAATTTACGACCCTATTTCCCCTCTTCACTTTCTTAGATATGTATTTTAAACTATGTCAACATAAAAAATTAACAAGCTAATTTTCTAAATCCTAAATATTTAATAATTCACATGATTTTTCACTATATTTTTCCATAACTATCAGATTGGGTCAAATTGAATCCCTTTGAGAAAGTTTTTTTTTTTTAAACAATCCTATCAAAATTTAAGTATTCAATGCTTAGCATATCTTGATGTTATTTTTGTTAGATTGAATGTCGTATCTTACTATACTATGTATAAATATCTAATGATAGTGTCGCAGTTTTTCATTGTTGTCTGTGCATTTTTATTGTCCGGAAAATCACATAGTAGGATCTTATTTTTCCTCATTCATTTCCATACTGTTTTTTATTTTTGTCATTAGCAGAAAACTAATAAAAATCATATAGGTATTGTTTTTCTATAAATATATTTGTATCCCTAATTTAAAGTTATTTTCCCGTACAGCTATTATTACGCTTTTAATTCAAGAGTTTAAAACTAAGAGAATTGACTTTTTTATTATTATTATTATATAATGTAATTCTGCCCTACATTTTAAGATAAAGTATTTTGGAAATGTGGCTTAATTTAATTTACCGTTTTACAATTATTATTGTGCAAATATCATTCATATACTGTTATAAATTATGGTTAAAGAAATCTGTTAAATGATTTAGAACTTAGTGATCAATTTCATTCACAGGGAGATGCAAGCAAAAATAGTATTTAAAATTTCCGCCCGTTTGCTTAGCAAAAATATTGAATAACGTTGTGAGCTCATAAATTTTTTTTAAACAATCTAATGTTCAATGCAATCTAAATGTTATTTTAAAAAATTATTGCTTAATAAAATTGCTGTGGTTCACCAATAGATCTAAATATTTGTAATACTAATAGATAATAGATTTGAACGTGGGAAGTGGAGGCACAAACGTAAGCAAACAGAATTCCTTTCACTGCATAGATGATAAATTAATAGTTTTAACTTTAGTAGAAAAACTGTTTTCTGCAAAGAAACAACAATTATTGCGAAGCAATCATCAGGGTTGATGAGCGGTAGCGAACAGGGTCTTAGTTCCCCAGTTTTTTAAAAAAATTTATTGGAAGAATTAGTTTTGGACAAAATTGACCCATCTCACGCAAGGGTTATGAAAATGCTTTAGCTATATGCATAGTTTTAACCAGCAACGGCTCTCCTTCGTTGTAACTTTTTGGTATTCCGTATTGAGTGAGAAAGTTATCTCGCTTATGTGCCGAATTTCTGTAAAGAGTGGGAATGATTATCCTTATTCTACATTTTTTTCTAAGTTATCTCGCTTATGTGCCGAATTCCTGTAAAGAGTGGGAGTAATTATCCTTATTCTACATTTTTGCTAAGTTATCTCGCTTTTGCGCCTTATTCCTGTAAAGAGTGGGAGTAATTATCCTTATTCTACATTTTTGCTAAGTTATCTCGCTTATGTGCCTTATTCCTGTAAAGAGTGGGAGTAATTATCCTTATTCTACATTTTTACCATTTAATTCGATACCAGTTTAATAAAACTTTTTCAGAAGCGGGGCAGTTGCCTCACCCAGGGGTGAAAGCGAGACGGAAAAGAGGAAAGGGTGGCAGTGAAACCATTTCAGTTATAACTAGTTTTCGGGAGGAGTTAACTTATTATTTTTAAAACTATTCAACAATATCTACTTTATCCTAGGAAAATAAGCAGTTTTATATATAGACTAAAATTATAAAAGAAATCTTGATAGTTACAGATATTTTATTTTTCTCGGAAAGAATGCTAAAATGAAATGTCTTTCGTACCAGTTTCCGCACTTTTCCGTCTTACTATATAAGGGCTTTCAGCCATGGCCTCACCTGTAATACATCTTGTGAAGTTTTTATTTATTATTTATCTTATAACGTTCAAAAAATAAAATCAACATCCTGTTTCAGATGAATCCGAATGTTCCAGTGGTAGTTACGGTAGCGCCTCTTCTGTATTCCAAAAGAATAATCACCGTGTGTCCACTCCACCATTTTGCTCATTATCATCCAGTAGCTCTTCAACCAACAGCTCGTTAGAATACCAGCAGCATCCACTCTCGAAATCTTTGTACAGAAGATCAGTCAGTGCTTATTTTCCGTCATTTTTCCACTCATGAACGAAACTTTTAGCTCTCATTGAGGATAAACCTAGTCACATTTATAAAGAAACTTCCTTGTAATTTAAAGAAATTTTTTTTCTTTCTTTTTCTTGTAATATATTGGTTATTATTTTAAGATTGTTATAAATTCAGGAACTTGTGTAGAATTTCGACGACCATGCAACCAAAAAATGGCGTAAACCAACACGAATTTTCTCCATCTATGGGGAACTATATGTACGTGGTCATTTCGATAAACCATTTAATAGCTTGATTGCTAAACAATGATAAACCATTTGATTTATAAGCAATTTGATTAATATAGCAATTTGATAATCGCTTGATTGCTAAACCATTTAATTGAAAAATCAAATTTGCTCCATCAGTGGTGAACTATAGACAAAGAACGTGGTCATTTCGATAAACCATTTGAATAGCTCGATTGCTAAACAATGATAAACCATTTGATTTATAAACAATTGATTAATAAATCGTTTGATTTATAAACCGTTTGATTGAAAAACCATTTGATTGATAAACCATGAAATAGCTTTTTTGTAGCTGTTAAAATATGATGAATTTAAAGTACTTTTATATTAAGTTATTTCGGTGAATAAATTATGCCACAATTTTTTTTAATCATACATCCTAAGATATAAATTTCAATTAAAAAAAATAATAACTTTCTGTTTTAATTCCCATTTGGGCTGATTAAAGTAGAAAACGATTTGGTATCAGTTTGGCGGAATTGGCGCCAGCTTTCTTGGTGGACGGAATTTTACTCAAGTGCTTTAATTCAATAAAAATCTGTATATAAGATGTATTTATAAGATTATATGTTGAACATTGAGAGAATCTGTCATCAGACCTTGTTTTGAACTTTATTTTTGTAGAATGTTATGGGTCAAGCCCTTCAACTTTAAATTATTGTTTCACACGTTACCTGCTACCCATGCCTGGAAAGAAAGGAATCTAAGAAACAATGTTATGTGATTCATTTTCGCTTTGATATTTATAATTATGTTTTACGAATCCATTTTATCTATCAGAAAGGCTATTATAATCACAAAACTAATTTAAAAAATTCAAATTTAATTAATTTAGATATAAAGAGTAGGAGTCAACGTCCTTGAATTAAAAGTGGATGAGGGAGAACAGACCAGATATTTTAAATCTGTTACTCAAACAATCTCGCTCAGTTACAGGAAGACGAAAAAGTTGGTTTTAATTAAAAACATGTGTACCTTTGTTTTAGTTGATGGCAAAGGAAAAAAAAAGGTGCGTAGTTTCCACAAAAGGAGGAATCGCGTTAGCAGATATCTGGAAGTACCAAATATTAAGAGTAGAAGGCTTCGCATGACTTTAAGTTCTTAGGGATGATTCTAAAGTTCGTCCTATTAGTCAAATGGTGAAAACTCCAAGTGTACGAAAAAAGGCAAATATATTTCTCTTGATTACCCATTTATTTGCGCTGAGATGGTTATGGTTACCATATAGATTTCTTTTACAAATATAGGAAAGGAATATATATCCAGCCATTGGCTCATAAGGTGTCCACACGTGGTCAAGTCCAGGCTTAAATCACATCTCCATTCCATTCCCATCCTCGTGCTCTGACTAAAGCATACTTAAGTACATACTCTACGAGATATGAATTATCAAAAGAACCACCGCAAAAATGCGAGAGAAAAAGGAAATTCAAATAGTTATCAGTTCTTGGCCTCTTGTAAAAATGGGAGCGTCCAACTGGGGCTCGAACGCGATAAAGCTAGTGGCTTGAAGTTGGTGCTAGGGGCACCTGAGGGAAATTTAATAAAATAAAACAATATCCGAAAGATTTTGAACTGAATAGAGATACTGCAAGAAGATAGCGCATAAATATTGTAAAGTAGAATTATTAGAGCTTTAATGTAATCTGAATTTTAACCAACTAAGCCTATTTTTTTCTTTCATTTTTACTTTTACCTCAGCTGTTAGAAAGTTAATCTGATCTTTGAATATTAAACATTCGGGCCAGTATTACTACTAAGTAACTTAATTTTCAAACAGTTTATTTAACACAGCCTGTTCTTTTTCGGGTTTTATCTTATTAAACATCACATCCAATTTAATTGCTCATTCTGAGAATTTGTTGAAAAGTAATAAAATTGCACCTATGTGTATATTTTATCAATTGCACAAATCTTATGCAATTTTAAATTTTCGGAAAATCTTGCGGTTGAAAATAATTTGTGTTTTATTCCGCCTTTTTTGGAAAATTCTGAGGAAAATAAATTGAAAATATTTACAAAAACATTTTGTTTTGTTACTGTAAGTTATTATATATATTAGCCTTGTTTAATATGTCTGTAAATAGTCCAAACGGTCCTTAAAAATGTAAAAAATGGTTGTAACATTTATGCAATGGAGCGTAACACGTTATTCTGGTCAAAATTTGGAAAATTAATCGCCTGTTAAAAAAATCGATACAGTCGAAATAAAAGGAAAAAAAACTTATTCTAAAACTTGAAAATTGTATACTAGCTTTAGTGCAGATTTTCTATCACTATTTCATTTTTAAGGACCATGGAAACTCTGATGCATGTCGCTCTTTATTCCATAATTGTGTATAAAATAAAATCTATTTTCAATTCTGCATTTGTAATTTATTAAACTTTTTCTGGAAAGTTAAAATGTAAAAAAATTCTTATTTTAGCCTAAATATTATCAAATAAAAGTACAGTGTGAAAAATTAAAAAAAGATATCCTCTTAAATAACTTTTGTTCCAATGATCAGATTTTCGCAGAGTACCATTCCAAATGATTCAGAAGGGTTATCTCAGGAAGACAAATTCATTTCGGTCAGTCACTAATTAAGTTTCATAACGAGACACAATGTATTCTCTCTGAATGAACATACCTTTTTCTTTTCAACAGATTATAATTTTTTAACCTGAAAAATGGAGGTAGTCGCAATCTGGAAAATATGGTCCCAATATAGCTAATAATGTCGGAAGTTTAGGCCCCATAAATGATAAATTTCACTTGTAAATTTTAAAAAGTGGTAAAGAAAATTAAACAAATGTCTATAACTTAATTTTTGTGCAACCGCTTCAAAATTTTATTTTCCGAAGAAAGTTTATATGCATGAAAGTTCCAGCTTCTCAACCGCAAAGTGGTTTGTTAACACGTTCACGCCGGGAAAAGAGAAAATACTGGTAGAAGAACTATTTCAATATTAGATAATATTCGGGAGGAGTTAATCTACTCTCAACAATAACAATTCACTATAAGGAAATTAATCACGACGAAGAAGCAATTCAATGTAAAAATTGCATCCGTTAAAAACAATTGGTAGTTATGGCTTTTTATTATTCCCGGAAAAAAACTAAAAAATGAAATTTATTGTTGCCAGTTTTTACTCCGGTGCGCTGCCAAGTTGAGACAATCTAGCGTGACCCACCGGTGGGTCACCCCGGCTTGGTAAACTCCTTTAAATGTATTTTTCCTTCTAAATGTCGAATGAATTTTGATTATCAAAAGACTCACTTTCAAATGTATGGTTTATTTCAGAATATTCGCTCTGATAATGGTTTTGCAAAAAAACTATAGTTCGGGCTTGCCCTGTCCCACCTCCCAATCGGGGCATCCAGGGAACACTGTTGAAGGATCGGTTTAGACCAGATCCTCAATTCTGTTTTCAAAAAGTCTTTTAAAAATCTCTTCACTTCCTTTGTTTATTTTCTTTTGGTTCCAGTTTCGTTTAATGGTGTCATAGTTTAAATTTCTCGGGAAAAATTGAATTCTTAAATCATCATAAACTGGACAGGCAGTAAGTATGTGTTCGATATCTTCATAAGTTTTACAAACTTTACAGTTCGGATCTTTCCCGAACAATTTTGACTGATAATTACCCTGGGCTCCATGGTTAGTTAGATATTGATTGATATAGAAAAAACCATAATTAACAAACATCTGATTGCACAAAGCACTCCCTAACTTGCTGGACACATCAATGGACTTATAATCGTGTAAGTTCCTCATGAGGGCGTTTAAATTTTTCCTATTTTCCTCGACAATAATTTTCAATTTTCGTCCACATTCTTTGTATTTTACGTTTTCAAGCCCTACTTTCTTGTAGACCGACATTTCTTATTATAACAAAGTTAGAATCGAAAGCGTAAAACAAGTTATGAAATACCTAACTAATTAACGTGGAAATCTTTACCTACCTTAAACAGATAATGAGGATGAAAAAATGTACTAAACGGTTAAAAACACGTTGATGCAGTATCATAAATAACAACAAAAATCATTCAAAACATTTAACTTTCCTTCGTTATTGAAAAGTAAATGAAGAGCTTAAAGTGACAACCGTCAACCTAACAACACTTGATTACACCTATAAGCTACAAACTATGTATTCATACACTAGAACTATATAGTAAAAGGCATTCCTCCGCGCCATTTCTTCAACAGGATTACTTTTTCGAAAATTCTGTGGTTAGAATTAAATTCTAGCTAGGCATTTCTATCACATGCGCATTTGCTCAGCCGGTTGCGCAGGCATATGCAGATGCATCCTAATCTAATATGCTGAAATTCTTCAGGGTTAGTCTCACTCTAATCATGTGTAAAAGCAGAGTTTAATTATTTCTAGAGATGGGTCAAAAGTAACGGAGCAGTGACTTGTCTCAGTGACTGGAGCAGTGACTTGTCTCAGTGACTGGAGCAGTCACTGTGACAACCTCCTCCAGCCGAAATTTATCACAGTTAAAAAAATGACTGCTACTGTGACAAATTTTACTGCTACAAATTTCGAAAATATTAGTAGAACAAAGAAATATGAGTTATAATTTAATGTCTTATCTGAGATAAAATCTTTTCTTATGTTATTTTAACACATTAAAAGAATAAAAAAAAAAGGTCGCATACTGGCTATTAAAAATCATACTACTATATACAAACATAAATACATACTACTATATACAAACATAAATATATCACCCGTCCCCTTGGGGACGGGTGATTCAGAAAAGCATTCGTACAAAATCAGAATTAGGATGTAAATAAATCAAACAATTATAACTCCGCCCACAAATAAACTGCTAAGGAATTACTTTGATTACCAGTTTTATCTTCTTGCCCTGGTTGATACGGTTTTATGCTGGCACGTATTTGTGACAGTCGGCGCGAAAGGGTTAAAAATCATTACTTAACATAAAAAGGACTACTAAGCATAACGATTAATTATTTTCATTGATTACATAAAATATTGATGATATCGATTATTTTCACTGAAAACTAACTATATCGATTATTTATTGAAAATATTTATTCGATTAATTTAGACCAATTTTAATAAATTATGACCCTCAATCGAATTGATTGATAGAAAATATCGATAAATTTTATATCGAAATAATCACCGTCACTGCTATTAGTCTCTGTTACTTTTGAAAAAAAGTAGCAGAAGTAACAGCGACAGAGAAGTAGCAGTTTTGCTCACCTCTTGTTATTTCTATTTCATTTGCGGAAGACTATATAATCATCAAATATATAGCTAAAAGAAATAATATTTAAAAAAAATTGAAAAAAATTTCTCCTTATAGTAATTTCTTCATCATCAACTACAGCGTAATTATTAGAATTAGCCCAAGTAAGTTTAGCTTGATAATAAATTAACTGTTACAAATCAGGCTAAGACATTCCAGTGAAATGGATTACCATATAACTAGGTTAACACGTTGAACGCCATGCTAATTTTACATATCTTGCCCATCCTGCCACGGTAAATAACTGCAAACTAAATTTGCAAATACTAGATGGATTTTGCTATTTTTTCAGAAGGTTTATCATTACGGATCTGACAAAAGTGGTGAATTATATAAGCCTACGAATTACGTAAAAATAGTGGTGGATAAAAATCTACTAAATTGAATTTTTTAAACCAAGAATCACAATAATTAAGTAATTTTTGAATAAATTTTCTGCTATTCCATAAAAGAGTGTAAATTTTATAATTCTATATCGTGTTATACGCTGTCAGCTAGCTGTTTTTCGAGGCCTCAAAAGGTCAGTGTCAACAAGCTGTGTCAGACACAGCCTAAATGCAATTTCAGTGTCAGACACCGGTGGTTGACGCGGCCTAAATGTAATTTCAGTATCAGCCACCGGTGGTTGACGCGGCCTAAATGGAAAGTTCAGTGTCAGCCACCGATGGCTGACGCGGCCTAAATGGAAAGTCCAGTGTCAGCCACTGATAGTTGACGCGGCGCTCAATGTGTTAAAGGTTTTCAGAGCTTGAAAATCAACTTTTCTCTATAAGGTCGTATGTAATAGTAAGTAACGCCTACATTCTAATCTTCTTGTCATGACACGAACAGACCCTACATTACAGAACATTGGTGCTCTTAAAATTAAAAGGCAGAATTTATAAATTGTTTACGACTTCAACGTCACTCACACTTCACAAAATGTAGAGAGATATCTGAAACATTGCGACTCAGGCATAGCGACTAAATAGGATGCCCGAGCTTTAGGAATGACCTTTGAAGAATTAGATAAAATGATTAAGAAAAGTTGAAATATTGAAGAATATTTTTTGTTTTATTTACTGGTAGAATTGTTTTCTTATGCTCGTAATGCTTACGAGAATCGCTTGGTGAGCAAATGTATTGCATTTATGCAAATATATGATCTTACCTAATTTGATTGTGTTATTTTGTATCAAACGCGGTGCGCGAAATATAATTTTTTTCTTCCTAATTTTAACGAAATATAAATTTTTAATTTAATAAACCTTTTTTAAGCAGTGAAAATTAAAGCTCTTCCCCCAAGCAAAAGTAAGAGTTACTGTTTGTTGGCAATTCAATTTTAGAGAGACAATAGGACAAACGCATACTGTTTGCGACATAAAGAAAGATTGTTTAGAGAGATTAATTATAAGAATTAAAAGTTTTTGAAAATAATATTAAATTATTCATCTTTTGAGATTGCTTAAATATTTTTAGAGAGCCTTTTAATGAAAACTAAGTCCTTTCAGTTACAATAACAAAAGATTTGTTCTACAATCTAAAGTAAATAGAGAAAAATATCACAAAAAATTTATTTTTCACTTACTCGAACAAATGTTTCTTTCTACATAATTACACTCGGGAACAAATTTTTTGTTGCATCTTCACAAGTACTTGATTTTACATAGTTTGTTTGTGTGTATAGTAAATTTAACACTAATTTCGTTCGAAAAAATACAAAAATACTGAGAAAATACTGCATACTTTGTGAACGATAATATAATAAACTCCGATCTAACAATTAAAATAAAAGCATTTGACCTTTACATATTACATTGTATTATCGTTTTGCAGGAAAAAATCTTGTGTAGTAATATCAAATTATATATAAGGCCAATTTTAAAAATCAGTATAATTTAGCCGTAATATTATCAAGGAATCCCTTTGGTAATATTAAGTCATAGTCCGACGATATAAAAACTGGGCAGACCTTTAACCTAAGCTATTCCCAGGAGTGGTCGTTGAGTTTTGTATGATCACGCAACTCAGGCATCACAGCTACGAGAGTAGGATGCCCAAGCTATAAGAAGATTTCTCACCCGGAATAATCGACGGTTTCAGGAGGCAATTGAAAAGATTA